GTTATCTTAAGACATTAAGTTGTCATGCCAACAATATGGGAAATAAACTTCACCAAGTTGCTTACATACATGAAGGGAACAAACAACCTAAAGAAAAAAAAAAGGAGCTTAAGTGATGGTGTAATCCATCGGATAAGGCCATCAGAATCTATTAGCCTATTACTACAGCATTCCAACTTTGAAGGCATTGCATCCAAACAGTAAACTAGAAGGAATGAAAGAAAATGGAAAGAAGAAGAAAGATAGGGAAAGAGAATGAAATAGAAGTAGAGAGGAAGGAAAAGGAAGAAGAAGGAAGAAAATCAGTAAAGAAGAAGGATTGGAAGAAGAGGAGCTCACCTTGGGGATCAAGAGACGTTGGTGATTAAGATAGGTCGGTGAGTTCTCAGTCCAGTCTTAGAGTTCGCAACTTTGGCCTCCAGGTTCGGTCCGAACAGGGGAGCGGCAGAAGGAAGCAGGTGTTCGGTTGAAGAGGCGTCGGGCGTGGTTGGGGCGTGCGAAGCCAAGGACGCTCGGGTGGCTGCCGGGTTCAGACGGGAGTGAGGCCTCGGCGAACAAAAGCGCAAGCCGAGAGAAGAGGGATCGTAGGTTCTCTTGGAGCTTACGAATGAAGGAGCCGAAAGGGGCTCGGGGCGTCTGCGAACAGAGAAGAAAGAGAGGGGAGCGGGTGTGAGACCGAGAGGGAGCGGGCGAGCGAGAGTGTCGATGCCGAGGGCCTTCATTCCTAGTAAATTAAGCTTGTTGCCGCAAGAGGAAGCCCGCCTCTTTTCGTCTTCACGCTCCAGCCCCTCGAAAATTCCTTAAACGGCTTCGATCACTGCTCGATGTCTGCTCGAACCGCAGAAGATCGCCTGAGCCGCGAGATTTTGGCAGACTCAAATTAGGTTGAATCAAATTGAAATTGGCTAAGACTGGGCTAAGCTCGAGTCTAATCTTGACTTGATTCAAGTCAATTTTGGTTCGAGATGGCGCAACAAAATCGATCGCACGAAATTGAGTCCAAAATAATAATCAATTTAAATCAAATCAGGTACGACGCGATGAAAACCAACTATTCGAGTCTAATCGAACATGTTCGAGTCCGATCCGGCTTGAATCGGGTCGATTCGAGCCCGAATTAGATTCGACGATGTTCAATTAAATCGATAGAAATTGCTCGAGCGAAAAACAAGGTCAACAGACCTCTGATTGCCAAACAGACTGTGCCGTTGCAATTAAGACGTAAAATTTGCCTAAGAGGGAATCACTCGCAGTCAAATCGGATGAAATCGGTCAAAATGGATGACCAACACCTGAAATTGATGCTCGACATCACCCAAACGACGTTCAATCGCAAAACGGCTCCGATCGTCCTTTGCTTACATAAAATTGAGAACGAGGTGATTTACTTCATTCGGTTCTCTTCCCGCAACTTCTCACTCGAGCTTCGATCCACCGATTTCCTCTCTTACTCACCTGCAACTGCTGATTAAGAGCCTATGCACACCTGTCCACCCGAGTCTTCACCTGCTTCGTCCGCTCCTACATGCGGCGAGTTAATTCACATTCGCATGCAAACCGATCACACTTCACATTAAGTCAAACATGTGACTTGCTGTTTGCACAACCTTGCCGCACCAATCACTTTTACCCCATCGGCCAGCCACAACTTCCTACTCAGCTGCAACTTTCTTAATTTTGATTTGTTCGATCCGTCCACCACTCGATCTTCCTTGTTCGAAGCCTGCAGCAACTTGAGCTCTTCTATGCAGTTGATTCCCCCTACTGTAGCTGATTACACCTTTCCCAACCACTCATTTGGTATGAAGCTCCCAAATTGCTGCCCTCGTTGTTTTTCTCAAGTGAGTTTTTGTCCTATAGCCAACTGGCCTAGCTCCATAGCCTTCCCAAAACCTCGTGGCCTCAATAACCGGACAACAACTCTGATATTTGGCTTGTGCCCCCTTCATGAAATTTCCCTCCAACACTGTCTCAGAAAGCCTCCCAAATCGGCTAGAAAGGCACTCAAACCTCTCCCGATAAGCCATCACTTTCCCTTCCTGAACTAGAGCAAAGAATTGCTCGTAAAAGTCTCCTTCCCGACTGGTTCGGAAATGTTCTAATAAACTGTCTTTGAACTCCTCTACGATAGAATTTGTTCTCTCCAAGGTTTAAAATTGCGTAAATAAGCCTCGAGACGTTTTTCGTCCGTGAGGCGAGGCGTAATCCTCGAGGTTGTGTGAGGCGTAAGCCTCACCGACGAAGAATTGCGTAAATGAGAATTTAAGGATTTTAGCAAGTAAAAAATAGTAAGATTCTATCATACAATAAAAACATCTAAATGACAATTGAAATTAGAGGAAAATAAGAAAATAGATGCAATAAAATCATGTCTCAAAGTATAAAACAACAAAACATTAGTCTATCAAAACTCCCAAAGTAGAATTAAGAAAGAACATATATAATGCAATCATGTTCCATCACTAAATGGGTTTTCAAGGGAATCTTCTCACCCCTTCATCCTCTCATATAGAGTCCAATGTCTTCCAATCAAAGCATGCACTCATGAAGAAGTAGACTAACACTAACAACTATTACTAAAGATGATGAATAAAACAATATGCCAAATTGCCGGGGGTCTAAGGGGGCGCTGCCCCCTGGTGGGGTTCGACCTGTACCTAGCGGTACTGAGCGGTACCGAGCATGTACCTAGCTCTACTGAGCATATACTGAGCGGTACCGAACATATACTGAGCGGTACCGAGCATATATTTGAGGCTTACACCTCAAAGGAAATTGCGCAATAATGCTAGTGAGGTGCGCCTCACTCCACCTAAGGTGTACGCCTCATGATGCCTAAGAATTGCGTAGGCTTTGAGGCTATTTTGAAGCAAATTGCGCAAAGGCACGTCTCAAGGTGCCCCTCAGATTGCGCAGTTTTAAACTATGGTTCTCTCATGTCTCTCCACTGATACCAAGAAAAGGTCTCCCCCCTTCCAAGCATAAAGCCGCCGCCGTGAGTCTCTCTTCCTCCATCAGCCCATTCACCGTAAAGTATCTCTCTACTCTATAGATCCACCCATGAGCATCTTCCCCCCTAAAAAACGGCAAATTATTGGGTCAGGTGACTGAACGCGGAGAATAGGTTCGGACATCCAATAAAAATTTGCCACGTTACATGCGCTTTTGACTGCGCTTTTGACTTGCGCTTTAGTTGCACTTTAGTTGCGCTTTGACTGCGCTTTACCTGCACTTTACTTGCGTATCTGCGCTTTTAACGCGCTTAATTTAAAATAATATTTTATTAATATCCGGACCTATCTCTGTGTTCGGTCACCTGACCCAATAATTTGCCCTAAAAAACGGGCATCTTCAGTTTTCTCACTCTCGGATCCACTCTGCTCCAACTTCCTCTTCCACCTCTAGTTCCTCCCATATAGCGATTGTTGCGATCTCTCCATTGTTCTCTCTCACCTCTCCTCCTTTCACAGATATCCTCTTCCTCAAAATCAGCCTTCCTTGTTTGTTCCTCCCAATTTCTCTTCATGCTTTATCCTTCACCTATTTCCCTCCTGGTTATCGGTTTAAGAGGTGGCATATTTTCTCAATCTCTTAAGATTTCTTCCTCTTGATCATCCCTCATTGTGTCGATATTTGGGTTTCCTCCACTTCCTTGGCCACCCACCGATCCCCTCGCCTCTGATGTTGCCGGTTGGTAATGAAGCTCCAATATTTTCTTCATCATGTCCTATAGGTTGGAAAACCTTCCTCCCATGGATGAAATCCTTTCCTCAACTTCATATTTGAATTGACCGACTTCTCCTTCTAGTTTCTGTTCTAAAACATCCACTTTCTTCAGCGCCATAGGTCCAAAATCTTGCTGATACCAATTTGATAGGACTTGATGATCAAAACAACACACAACAATATAAAAAAACAACTTACTCCAAATAGATCCAGAATTAACACAAAAATAGTTATTTTTTACTAATTTTCAAGCAAAGCAGGATAATATACAAGTTGATTCACTGTTCGATAGGTGAATCGTCTCTCCCACAATTCCTAGCAGCTACTAGGAACCCCAAACACCTCATAAAAATTGCTGCAGAAATTCCAAACATAACATAAAAAACTCTAACCCACCATAATCTCCCCCCTTAAACAACTCAAATCCCCTTATAAATGCCACTTACATCTTTCCCAAAGAATCCCCCCTTATGGGGGCATGACCTGAAATGGGTAAAAATATCACAAAGAGTTTTCTCCCAAAGCCTCTTCTCTTATAGATGATAAAGGAGGTTCTGGGCCCCACATGTACAGGTGGATTATGATAGGAAATACTTAGATCCAAGTATTTCCTATCGACTCGAGTGGGGAAAACAGCAATAGAGCTGCTGTTTTCTGCAGGAAAACAGCCCAAATCGCAGGAAAACAGTAGAAAACTGTAGGAAATCTGAGAGAAAAACACACAATGGACTTATATTCCACTAGTAGATGCTCAAAAACGAAAGCAAGATACAATGTTCTTCGATTCGAGAGGAAGAACAACTCTCCGACAATCTCCGGCAACGCCAAGAGCCCAAGCAAGAAACCCTAGATCTCAAATTACATTCAAATTCAAGATGATCCCCTCTCCCTCCTAATCCTCCTAATTAACAATAAAGGATTCCTACAAATTACCTAAACAGCCCTTTGCATTCAAAAATTTCCCTCCCACATAATTAAATCAGCCCCAAATGGGGTCCACCATGTCCGCCTCCTCCTCTGGGAGTTTCCGCCTCCGCCTGGTGTAGACCCGGGCTGAACCGGGTCCAGCCGGCCCCTCCTGGGCCGGTTCACGCGTAACAGATTATTGCTGCCAGCTGCATCAGATATGTATAATCCTTTTGAATCTTATTTAAACAATTATAAAATCTCACTAACCTAGAGGCAAGATACATATTGATTTTGCTGACAGTTTTTTGTTTTCTTTACTTGATATATATTGGGGCATGACCTTTAGTTTCTTTTTTTTATTGCAGCATTAGGTTAACAACCTTTGATACCGTTAAAGGTCTCATTCGTGCTGGGCAAAAGGAGCTAGAAGAAATCAAGGAGGAAAGTAATCAAAAAGTAGTTGGCTAAAAATATTTTAGTGATTTTTTATCTTTCATTCTTCCAATGTAGATCTTCTTGTGGTGCATGAACCACTTTTTGTATTAAATTAATCTTTCATGTTGCATGAGCCATCCAAGCAAGAGTCCACTTGGAATCTAATTAGCATAATGCCAAAAAGCAATTGTGATGCTGTAATAGGTCTTTCAGCAAGCACCGCCAGCATGGACAGAGTGGGAGATTTGTTTTCTTCCTTTTTTTTTTAATTCTTAAATTGAAGGCGAAACCAATTCTTTTTTTTTTTTTCTTTCATGTTATATCTAATTGTCTTTGGATTAACCTGCCCAACTCTAGTGTTAATAGGCAGGAATATTCTGTTGTCAAACTTTTACACGTTTGAAATGTAGATTTTCAATTCGCCAGTTAAAAGGATGCCTTGATGACGATTATGTTGTTCAATAATATGATATAGTAATGATCGCTTCTCCTAATTTTCTTTGATTCCTTCTATTATGTTGTTCTGTTGGTCTTTCAATTGCGAAGACTGTTTGCTTTTATGGGTTCTTTTTGCTGGATCCAGGAGTAAGATGTCACGTCTTCTCTATTATCTTAAGAGTATTTTCAACATCCATTTGCATAATATCATTATTGTTTGAAAATCAAGATATTTTGTGATAAGATTCACCTTTACGTTTATATATATTTTTTACTTTTTTACGTGAGAATGGGGATTATCAATCAATAGATTTAGTGATAAGATGGTTCACCTTGACAGTTGGAGCCCAATTTAGTGAGCGAATTTGGATATGGAATAGTATTTGGAGGGTTTTATGTCATTAGGTGGGATAGTGTTGAGGTGGCAGGTTGGGTATTGGAAGGTGGGGTGAGTTTTGTGTTATTCGATTGTATTTTGTTTTACTTTGTTACAGGAGAGGGGTAATCATGAGATACGAGGTTAAGTAATTTCACTAGTATGAAATGGGAAGAAAATTGATTACACATCAAAAATATGTGGGTCAATTTAATTAAGTGGTTCAAACCTAACTATAATATCAAATTCATAGAGATGGAAGAATCCCATGTACATAACCTGAAATGATTTGTATACACAACATGGAGAGATCAATGTATACAACTTGAATCTTGAGAGAACCCTCAAATTTATAGGCCTCATAAATAATTTGCATTCATTCAATCATCAAATGTTAAATGCAAGCCATTAATCTCTATTTATAGAAATAGCTATTATTATCTAAAGAACATAAATAAATCTAATTAAATAAATTTTAAAAAGAAAAACATAAAAAATTAGCCAAAATATAAATGAGCTTAAAAGATGTGGAAATTTATTTGATTCAGTTTCTTTGTAGCACAGTTCAATTTTAATTGATTGGCATGGAACTTTGATCTTTTTGGACTAAGATGTGCATCAAATTACCTTTCCTTTGCAAGTGATTTCCTGCTTTAAATGCTTGATGCTTATGAACAATTTGATGAATTCGCATGTTACCTACTGTTTTTATTATTGTTTTTAATATATAGAGGATATTGATGTTGCAATGCATTCTCTTGGAATTCCTTCTGCATAGGAGATTTGGTGGATGAACTGTTCAGGCACGTATAACTTCATGATGGCTTGCAGTTCTTCAGGTATTTCTGTTCTTCTTTTACTCCTTTTATGCTCCCATAAGTATTCACTTGCTTATGTGTGTTTTTTTGGGAGAAAAAAGATTGTCAATGATATTTGATCACTTAAAAAAAATTTGGCATCATTTTTTTAAACTATTTTATTGATTTTATGGGATTCGGTCATCCTAATTTCTCATTGTTATTTTTGATGCCCACCTTACTATTTTATCTTTTCTTTCAATTGGAAACTCCAGAGGATTCTCATGATATAAAGAAAATCTACTGTATTTCTCTTGGATTCTCATTAACATTCTTTTTTGGATTAAAAGTGCTTCCAGTACGATAAGATAACCATGATGATTTTTATAAAGAAGTTCTTATGAGATGTCTGATTAAAGCTTGTAAGCTGATGCTTTTTCCAGAAATATTGAAGTTTCTCAGCTTGAGATTTATTTTTTGGATATGGTCTAAATTAAATTTTATTGGGAATCAATTGAAGTATTAGTCTAGGATATGTGGTTCTCAAGTAATTGTGTTGTCATTGTCATCGATTTGCTCATTTAGGGGAAAAAATGTAAGGTTGTTTTCCTTGAAGTTGCTTACCTTTCAATCTGGAACTAATTAAAATGTTTCAAAAAAGAGGCATCGGTTATTTTGATTCCTTTCATAGGAGCAACATCTTCCCCACTTACAAAAGTTTTTACTTTTAGAATTTTGTTAGACTTTATTTGATGCAGCTTTTCTTTTGATTGCTTTCTGAAAATAGCAATAGGGTTAGGGAAACTGAGAGTGCGAGAAGCGAAATATTATTTTTGTGTTCATAAATGGCATGGCCACATGGTGGAGGCTGTCACGATGCTGCACATCCAATTGCTCAAATAAAAAAAAATAAAAAAAAAGATTGTTATTAATTCGTAATTAAATAACTGTTATTAGTAATTAAATTATATATAAGAACATAATATCAATTAATATATAATAATAATTCATTTATTAAATGTATATTATAATATTAAGGAGAATTAATCGATCTCGATATCAAACATTAATAGAGTTTTTTAATGAGCTTACTCACGAGCTTTAAACAATTTTGTTCACGAACATAAACGAGTTGAACGCATAGTTATTCAAGCTTTTTTATTTATGCATCGAGTATTTATGAGAATGTTCAAACTTGTTCGACTAACTAATTAAACGATCACGAACCTGCTCTTATCGAGCTGAGCCGCAGCTCATCGAACGCTCAGTTCGCTTGCATCCCTAATTCCAGCTAACCTACATAATCCAAGATTCATTGTAAAGCTACAATCTGACAGCTGACACCAATGGCGCCAATGAATGAAGGATAACTTTAAATGCTATTAACGTTCTGGCTTTTAGCAGTAGGAGCAATAGTAGCTTCTCCATTTTTATATCATCTCATCTTGTGAAGGTGTGCCTTCAAAAATAGGATGGAGAAGTCTGTGACAACTTATGGTATGAAGAAAAACTAGTTGGTAGTTCTTTTAAGTCGATGTATAGTGTGAAAATGATATAGAATTGTATTAGTAGGAGGCTGTTTTTATTTTTCACGCGTCATCTATTATCTCTTAATACATTTAGAATATTAGACAATTTAATTAAACTCTTAGATAAATAGAGTTGAAGTACCAGATAATACACACAAATTATTAGGAAATTACAGTTTTTTTTTATAAAAATTATAGTTGTAATTGTCTAATAATTTATTATATTATCAAATGGCTTATAGCCTTACATATGTTTATTTAATAGTTTAGTTATATTGTATAATAGTTTATTTGTATTGAGGGATATCACGTCATGCTTGAAATTAATGATGCGTGTTGTAAATATAATTCTATCCTGATACAAAATGTATCAAAATATACTGTCAAAATTTTTTTCTTCGAAAAATTCAATTCCAAATTTCCTAAAGTTTTTTGGAAATTGGTGCGAAGAAAATAGTGTTTTTTTGTCTAAACGTATGTCACAAGTCCCTGCCAAAGTTTACTTGCAAAGATTCTAGCAAAGTTGGAAATTTGTTTACGCACTTTCTAACTATAAGTGCTTTATATGGTAAGTGAAGGTTCTGAAGGTTTTTTGTTGTTAAAGGAACTAGATTGAGTTACCAATAAGTTATAAATGTGATTGAAATTTGCTTGATGGCCTTGATGATATTTTTTATGAATAAGCCTATCTTTTACATATGTCTTAACAGTTATATAATAAAAGTTTTGAAACTTTAACTATGTAGTTCCGATATAAGAATTTTAGATCTCTTTTCATTGCTGGAGAAAGGAAACACTACTTTAATTATGTGCATCTATTTGTTTTGTATGATACAAATGCTATTGTTCATTTGATTTATATGGGTTTTAATAGATTTTTAGTAGTTCGTTAATACAGGATTTAAACTATAGGATGCCAACAATATAAATGAAGGTTAAATTTTCCGCATAACGTAGCACAAACAAAGTAAAATTTAATTACTGCTAATTGAAAATATTCAGCTTTGAGATAACAAAAGTATTAAATAGGGATCAGGCATCTGTTGGATATTAGTACCTCGCTCCATCATCAAGAATCAATATTGAAAAGCTAAAATTCTGATGCCTGACAAACTTATTAGAGGATGAAGTTGTAAAACTAAGCAATTTCTTGAAGTTCTATGGTATGAATCATGGTACTTGCGTGGGTTCCATTCCAAGCAGTGCATTTGCAATGATCTGAATTGGTAATGGTATGAAGTCAGTAGGTATGAACTCAATGGAAGTGATAACATTGATGCAATAGCTGTTATAGGGAATTAGATATTTCAAGGACTGTTATTTCTAATGTTTATCATAAAAAATTATCAGGGTTTTGATTTGATGTATTAGAGGTGTAAGTAAAAAAGAATGCATGGGCTTTGCAATATTAATTGTTTGGTATAAAGTGAAATAAATGTAAATTATTTTTATGAGGAATTTATATGCCCCAAAAGATCATTTTTTGATGGATTCTGAATTCGCCTAATTCAGATGAAGTCAAAACTCATTGTTATACAAACTCATAACACTTCTCCTTCTTGACATTGTGTGCTCCCTATTTTGCTCTTCCGACATCTTGCTACACAACCTCTCACAACTCCAACATTACCCTAACTTTGATTTTCACCTGCTAACTTAATTCGTTTTTATGACTTGAACCTCTGGCTTCCCCTCATTTGCTCAAATTTTGCCACACCAATCCTCTCCACTCTATATCACTTCGGCTATCTTCCTCTTCTTCTCTGGCTCAGGGACTGTTATTTCTAATTATTATCATATATAACAAATTATAAGGGATATTTGATTTGATGTATTAGAGGTATAAGTAAATAAGAATTCATGGGTTGCATTATCAAGTTTTTGGTATAAAGTGAAATAAATGTAAATTATTTTTATGAGAAATTTATATGCCCCAAAGATCATTTTTTGATGAATTTTGAATTCACCCAATTTAGATGAAGTCAAAACTCCTTGTTATATGAACTCATGACACTCCTCTTTGGTGACATTGTGTGCTCCTTGTCTTACTCTTCCAACATCTTGCTACATAACCTCCCACATCGGCTCCAACATTGCCCTACCATTGGCTTTCACATGCTCCCTCTCTTGTTCCACCGACTTAGTCATTTTTGTGACTTCAGCCTCTGGCCTCCCCTCATTTGCTCAAGGTTTGCCTCCCCCATCCTCTTCACTCTAGATCACTTCGGCTATCTCCCTCTTCTTCTTTGACTTAATGACTGTTATTTCTAATGCTTGTCATATATAATTAAGAAATTATTAGGGCTATTTCATTTGATGTATTATAGGTGTAAGTAAATAAGAATGTATGCATT